AATAATTTCTAATGAGACATTTGGGGTTCATGTTGGAAAAAAGCTTCTGATTGTTGCAAAACACAGACAATTTTCAGCTGTTTGATTCAAGTTTGAATACTAGAATTCTCTCAAATATATTCTTAAAGTGGTATGATGACAACGCCTTTGCATGGAACAGTTTCTAATTCCTCTTCTTGCCTGCTTCATATTCGTCCACTCTTTTGTGGCAAATAAGAGAAACTGGTTTTTGTTTGAAACTACATTAAACCGACATGTCAGTTCAGAAAACCTTTTAGTTTTAAGGAATTAATGAGGGCATTAAAGATGAATGATTGACAAACCAAACTGTAGGTAGAGATAGCTCAGAAAATGATTATAGTTAGACAAAGTTTCAGGAAGCCAAATTAGTAATCAATAAGTCCTTACCTCGTTTTCCCCCCACATCCAAGTTTTAATATTTTGCCTGCATCTAATACTGGTAGGTAGTAGAATTTTTAATCATTTGGGACCTTGTAGGCTCATTTGTTACAAAAACTTTTAAAAAGTACCCAAACATGATAATTTTGTGAGCCAATCAAATTATATATAACATACTTTATGTTCCTAAACTAAAAGAATTTGTTGCAGCAGTTCTCAAAGAGATAACTGTGTCAGTCTGTTTTTCATATGTAACAAAGATAAATACAAATGAGTTGTGGCATCTTAAGGACTAACAAATTGGGTCTAGGAAAATGGACTGTTACCAATGAACAGTGACACTGAAATAGTTAGTCTTTAAAGTTACTTCAGTTGCTTAACTGAACTGAACTTGCTTAAAGTTGTTGTTATGTTGCATTAGTTGTTTCTCAGTTATGGTAACCCTCAGAAGGATATATCATTAACAGTGTTAATGAAATCTTGCACTTGGATATTTGTCTCATTATTCTGTTTCCCGCTCTTCCTGATGCCTTCAACTTTTCCTAGCATTATTGTCTTTTTCAGTAACTGAAATCCAATAACAACAATAGTATACCATCAAGTCAATTCTGATTTATAGCAATCTTTCCAGGGTTTTTAAAGTAGAGAATACACAGAAGTAGTTTACTGTTCCCTTCTTTGGGGGAGGGGCTCCTGGAACTGTGCAGCTTGCCCATGACTACACAGGCTGCCTCTTTTCCCAGGAGACAGTTATACCACAGAAATCTAATGATGTCACCAGTCACAACCATATTTTGATAATTATTTTTTCTTATTCCTCCTCCCCTCCCCCAAGTTCCTAGGTTCCCTTGGAATCCCTTTGATTCTGAGGAAGTCTTTGGGGACAGTGGAATGGGAGCAGTAAGTCTGAAATGTTTGAAAATTGCCACTGAGATTGCTGGTTGTGGTAGAACCAGTGGCAGTGATTTTCAGACATTTAACATTTTCTGACCCCAGCCTACTATTTCCAGAGAATTCCTTAAGACCAAACGGATCCTGAGGAAATCTGGAAACATTTGGTGCTGGTGAAATAGGAAACTAAATTTCCAAAATATGGCCTTGGCTAATGACATCATCAGACTAGGCAGTATAACTCGATACCGGATTTTAGCTAGTGAATCTTTTCTACTCATGGTATATACAGTATGCCTGAAGTACAGTATTATAGCTTCAGTTCAGTCATTTTCACTTCTAATGTGGATTAAAGCTTGATTTGATTCATTACTCACTTGTAGTGGGTAATTGATGGTAATCGTTAAGCTCTCTTGTTTGCTTTCTCCAGTGTTCAGCTTTCACATCTTTGATTATTGGGAATGCCATTGATTGGTACGGATGATCCGAGTCTTGATTTCCGGTGACAGATCCTTATACTCAAAAGATCTTTTCTTATTCCTTCATAGCTGCATTTCCAAGTCTCAGCCTTTCCCTCTGATTTCTTGGATGCAATCTCCATTTGGATTGATGATTTAACCAAGACACCAAAAAAACCTTGATCATTTTGATTCCTGTTTTGACAAAATTAAGGTTTTGTAACTCTTCTGTAGTCATTATTTTCGTATTTTTGATATACTCTTATCCTTCTTTTGCACCTTTGTCTGTTGTCGTATCAATTTACTGCTCTTTTCTGCCAGTAATGTGGTGATATCTGCATTTCTCCAATTATTAATATTTCTTTCACCAGTTTCAATTATTAATATTACTTTTCACCAGTTTCATCCTCTTTTGGCAGAATTTATTGTATGTTTGGGCTATAGATTAATCAGATAGGGAGATAAAATGCAGCACAAACCCCTTTGCTGGGAAAACCATTTTGCTTGTCTGTATTCTGCCCTAATGGAACCCTCTTGTGCAGGGTATGAGTTACACATCAGGACACTCAAATGAGGTGGCACACCGAATTCTTCTCGAATAATGCATAACTTTTCATGATCCACACAGTCGGAAGTTTTATTGTAGTCTATAAAATAGAGACTGATTTTGTTCTGAAATTCTTTGGGATGCTCCAGTAGCTTACTTGTATTTGTGATATCTTCAGGGTGTTTCATTTCCTAAATCCAGCTTGAACATCTGGCATTACTCACTGTAGAACTCTTTGTTTAAAAACCTTGAGCATCACTTTGTTTGCATTGAAGAATAATGCAGTAGTCCAATAGCTAGTGCAGTCTTTGAATTTTTTTTTTTAAATGAAGATATATATTGAACATCTTCCAGTCTGTGGGCCATTGTTCTGTGTTACTTTTATTCGGGGGAAGGTTTTATGCTTTTTCTTAAAATTGTAATTTTCTCCCCCCAAACAACCGTTCAACATTCCCTCTAAGTTTCTGTCCCACTGCGTGGCAGCTTTGCTCTGTGTGTGCAGAGGTGGGCAGGGCTTCATTCAAAATGGGAAGTAAACAAAGAGGCTGTTGGCTATCCGTGTGCAACCCCAATGGAGCTTTGGGCAAGTGCGCACATTGGATATCAGTATGCTACTTAATAAGCTAATGAATAATTAAGAGCATGACAGTTGATATAGAATCACTGCAGATCATTCTTTTTCAGCCTAGTATCCTTCAGAACCTTTAGTTTGTACCTTCTTTCATTTGTTAACATTGGCCATTTGGATTGGGACTCCATGTTGTGGAAGGCTGCTGTAGATCTTAACTAATAAAAGCTAAGATCTTTGGTTGTGAATTGGATAGGTATTTTATTAAAATATTTCTTGTTGTTGTGTAGTGTATAAGCTAGTGAACTAAATCGATAACCTCTAGCCAAAATACATGAATTACATTCTTATATGCCCGGTTTCATGTGCACGTAAGGCACTTAGGGCCAAGTAGCATTGTTTATGGCAGTGGTTCCCAACTTTGGGTCCCCAGATGTTTTTGGACTAAAACCAGGATGGATGGATTTGATTTATATCAAAGAAATAAGATTTTTTGATGGTTTAATTTTTTAAAAAAAATTAGTGTTTAAATCCGTTTTATTTTTATCCACTTACACTAAAACTCCCAGAATCCTTCACCACTAGCTGTGTTAGCCAGGATTTCTGGGTATTCCCAAGGTTGTGAAGCGCTGACCTATGGAAATAAATGCTTGGATCCTACTAGTGAGCATTTTAGAAAATCTGTGGGCACAACTGATATAGTTCAGTGTCATTGAACTAATGACATTGACAAGGGGCATACAACTAAGCTGTCCATTTTCATCATTATTTTTTGCAGTGCAGTTGAACCATTAGTCATAGTTATTAAATAGACCCTTGATACAAAAAGACAGGGTTTGATTCCTGGTATATTGCTGAAAAATCTGTCATCATGTGGCTCTATGGAAAACTATCAGAAGCATAGTACAATACAATTAATAAAGGGCAAGAAAGGTTAGGAGGAATGGTGAAGCATCAATGATAGTTGCTGACAATGTAGCTAAAGGAAAATTTTCCCAGTAGGAAATCATGACATGGTGTAATATGTTGTGTGTTGTTGTTCATTTGAATTATATTTAATTTTCAGACCTGCTAAGGACCAGATGATTTTTATTATGTCTGGATACATAAAACCATAGAATTCAGAAAAATAAGCATTCAGAGAGAGGTGTATTTCCTTTTTCACATTACTGTGTATAATATATGTGTTGCATATTTTCATTTGAATTTTGTGTAGCTAAAATAACTTCTTTGTTTCTTCCTTCTTCATGACAATCCATTGCTGTAGAAGCTTGCTTAAATTGTATTTGACTTTAGTTTGATTCAGTAAGCAGTCTGCCTAAAGTACTTGAAGTAATGGTAGATTTTAAGCTGGGTATCAGATATGTAAGCCAGCAAATTTTGCAGTTGCTCTGGGAAAACAAGAAGAAATTAATTTTTATATTGTCATATGAAGAGTTGGTGTTGTAAGGTAACTCCATCATCTGAAGTTCTGTTTTATTTCACTTCAGTGGTTAATTTGTTAGCAGTCCTTACTGCTACATTGAACTCCAAACATACGTTGTGTAAATGCAAAGTGATTGTGGTTTTTTCTGTGGGAAAATCACAATGAGTGAGAATCTTGGTAGAAGAAGAGAAATTGCATGTTAAATACATAAACATGGGCTCAATCAGATGCAGTAGATATAATGGATTGGGAAGACACGGGTTCACATCTCTACATAGCCATGTCCCCTTGGGTTAATAACTGTCTTTTAGTTTGGTGGTTTTCATATGATTGTTAAGGGGGAAATATTAATTTTTTTAAAAAACAAGACTGTGTTTTCATTTGCTGGAAAACAAGTTGTATCAGTAAAGGAATTACTTTTATATGCCCCTGTCAAATCTCAGTGTAAATCTGAGCACAGTTTGCTTTTAGTTATGAAGGTGGCACTTGTACTGTATTTCTTGTCACACACGAGTTTGGTAAATTCAGCTTGGTGAAAAATAAAATATTTGACTTTATAACTGGCGGAAATTTGCCACTGAAATTTGTACAGATTTGTGTCATTATAAATAATAGGATTCTGGCCAGAGAATCAGTGTTGAAAACTTAATGTTATTGAAGTGAAATGTCTGCTTGATGTTTCAACCTTTTCTTTGGTTTTCTTTCCTGCAGATCTTGGATCTCTCTTTGATTTGGAACATGACTTACCAGATGAATTGATCAGCTCCGCGGACCTGGCACTTACCAATGGTGGTGACATTAATCAGCTGCCAATGAGCATTGGTATGGCACAAGATGCTGCTTCTAAACACAAACAGCTGTCTGAACTGCTACGGGCTGGTAGTTCACCAAATCTTAATATGGGAGTTGGTGGGCCATCCCAGGGCATGACTGCTCAGCCCCAACAAAACAATCCTGGAATGGGAATTTTAAATAGTATGGCACAGGCAGGGTTGACATCTCCAAGTTTGGGGATGGGTACAAGTGGGCCCAACCAAGGTCCATCAACTCAGTCTGCTGCAGGAATGATGCCAACAGTAAACAGTCCAGTAACTCAGCCTGGAATGGGAATGAATGCAGGAATAAATGCTGGCATGAATCCTGGTATGTTGGCTGCAGGAAATGGACAAGGAATAATGCAGGGGCAAGTTATGAATGGTTCAATAGGAGCTGGAAGAGGACGTTCCAACATGTCATATCCAAATCCAGGAATGAGTAGTGCTGGTAATTTGTTGGCTGAGACGCTGCAGCAGGGTTCTCCACAAATGGGAGGGCAAGCAGGCTTAAGAGGCCCACAACCTGGTGGAACAATTAACAAGGTAAGACAAAAATATTTTTATGATACTAAGTGTTTAAAGCATGGCAATAAAAGGTAAAATATTTGAAAATATTTTCCTTTTCAGACACATCCAGATTGGTCAGAGGTAAGCAGTGGAATTATGAATGAATTTTATGGTTGTATGTAAGCTTGTCATTGACTAGTAAGAGAAGCTTAGTTAGTGTGAAAACAATTACTGAAAATATTTGTCTATAGTCAGAGCACAACATGCAAAACAAAGTTTTCAGCTGCTTTCTCACCTACAGAATGATAGTACATGTGATGTTAAAAATAATACATGATGTTACATGTGGTGGTAAAGATAATTATGTGTTTTAGTTAGAGAGAGTGTTCTGTTGATGCTGAAATACTCTAAAGAACTATATTATGTTTCCAAACAATGGTCATAATCCTCTTATCTTGTTATATTTGCATAGTAAGAAGTTATGTAACTTTTGGAAGCAAATTGCTCCAGGTTAAGAAATCACCATACTGTATATGTTTTCAGTAGTACAGTGGTGCCTCGCTTAGCAACATTAATTCGTTCCGCAAAAATCGCTGCAGAACGAAAACGTCGCTATGCGATATTAAAAAGCCCATAGAAACGCATTGAAAGCCCTTCAGTGCATTCCTATGGGCTTAAAACTCACCATTGAGCGAAGATCCTCCATAGCACCGCCATTTTCAGTGCCTCTAAAGCGAGGAATCCGTCCCTAAACACAGCGGGTGGCCATGTTTTTTCCCCAGTGGCCATTTTGAAACCGCCGACCAGCTGTGTGAAAATGGGGGCTTTGCGACGATCGCTTCCCTGCAATCATTGCAAAGCAAAAATATCCCATAGAGAACATTGCAAAGCGATCGCTTTTGCGATCGCAAAAACAGCGTTGCTAAGCGATTTCGTCGCTAAACGGAGCAATCGCTAAGCGAGGCACCACTGTATATTGAGTTCTATGACTTGGTGTACAGCTAATCACATGTACTTTAATTTCTTAACTGGTGAAAATTTGCTTCTAAAAGGTATGCCATTTGTATAGATATGCAAGAGGGCCAGAATGTTTATGTCTTTTGGGAGAGGGGGAGGCAAAGGGGCTTATATTAGGTGGCTCTGTGACTTTATGTTTGTGTGTTCAGAATTTTCCTTCTTGAGTTTTTAAATAGTAATCAGGTAAAGATACTGAAAATATTTATCACAGTTATTGACTGTGATTGCTGATAAAATATTCATAACCAGTTTGCCTATGAATACAGATGCTGCTGGAAATCTGGTTAGGCAGGTTCTGCCTGTGCACTGGGAATGATGTCATCATCATTAGCAGATTGCCACTGATTAAGTACTTGCTTTTTTATTTTGGAATGTGCACAAATTTGTCTTTATATGCAAACCGGATTGCATCCTGAAATATATATAAAAAAGAAAGTCTTTAAACAGTGGCAGTCTGCCACTGATGATAACATCAATCCCATTGAACAGGCAGAGTGGTGGAACAGGACTTTGATCTCTGGAGCCAGTGGACAAGGTGAATGTTTCTTGGAGTATTCAGGGAGATATTGTCAGATGATAGACTAGAGTGACCTTCTGGTATGATGATTATGGTTATTCTTACGTTATTCAGAATTGGCCTTGTTGTATAGGTTATGAAAAATCAAGCTTGGTGCTTTCACTAGTGAAAGTAAGACAGTTCACAGTGAAGGTTAAACAAGAAAACTAGATCCATTAGAAATACTGTTGTTCTAGAGAACATGTGTTCTTCTTTTGCCAGTGTTACAGATAGTTCTATCAAAATACGTACTCTGGGTAGCTATTTTGAAACAAGTGTTCAAGAAATACGTATAGGGAATTTGTCTATTTGGGCACATATTTGATTTGCATATATAACAAGCATTCAGCTCAATGGAATTGTGTGTGTGTTCATGCCCACAGCATGCAATAGTGCTCATTATACTGAGTGATAGCTATAGGAAGCATGTCAAGTTCAAAAGTAACTACACAGAACAGCAAACAGAGGAATGGAGAAATCTAAATAAAATTGATGTTGCATCTGCAGAAGGCTAAATGACCTGGTAAAATAGTTTTTTACTGATCCAAGTCCTAGAGATCTTGACACAATATTGAATTGAGACTGACACACACACAAACCAACATTGACTTGCTACTCAGTTAATGGACACTCCCTTTCATTTGCCTAGCAGCAGAATGAGAGTAGCAAAAAGAGGATTTTACAATTGTGGGTTGTTTAAACTTGGATGCATTGAAATCTGTTTATGGTGGATATAACATCTAGGAAATACATTGAAATTTTTCAGGCTGGTTTTTCAGTTGCAGCTCCTGTTTGCATTTGAGCCATTCCGAAAAGTTGAACAAAATAATAGAACAGGACAGTCTGTGGTACCTGTAAAGTAGCTTCCTGGTTTTGGTTAAATTAAGTTGTTTCTAGATAGATTTTATTTTTTAAATTTATTTCAGCAGATGAAGAACTTGAAATACATATTTAAACAAATGACATTGTTTACTTTAAATGCTGTTTATTTTATTTAACATCTTTTAAACCATACTTTATAATATCTGGACAAGATGGCTCTCTAGAAAGCCATGGGAAGAATATCAAAATTAATATAAGCTAGTGGCAGTAATAAAATGGAGATCTTGTCTTATGATGAAACAAAACAACTTGTAAGTCAGAACTTGTCAGCAGTCCTGTAGAACTGCGGTCCCCAACCATTTTTGGTCCATGGACCATCTGGGGAAGTTGGGGCACCCCCTGTGCTCGTGTGCATGTGCGAACAAGGCTCTCTCACACGAGCGTGCCCACGCGAGCGCCGCACCACCGTTTGCATTTGAGCGTGCAGTGCGCTCGTGTGCATGCACAAATGGCGGCACGGCGCTTGTCTGGGCCACCCCTGCATTTACGCGCATGTGCCGACAGTGGTGCTATGCACACACAGGCATGCTGGAGCGCACACGCAGGCACAAACAGGCAGTGTGGGGGTGAGTGCGTGCAGGGGTGGGGTGGGAGGTCTGTCTCGGCGTCCTGGTCTGGCTCAGGCCACAGACTAGCACCAGGCTGCGGACTGGGGGTTGGGGACCTCTGCTGTAGAAGATACAGAACATTACAGTAAATAAACATTACTTGAGGATTTTCCAGGGAGCTTGTGATGATGGGATTTGACAAACATTGGGTAGAGTGGGTGGCATATAAATTAAATAAATAAATATATAAATAAGTTGGTAATGCATTTCAGACTGTGGAATTGCAAAAGGAAAGATTGCCTTCCTCATCCATCAGCCTGACTTTTGTCAAAGACTGATGGCTAAGTACTGTATGTATTTGTCTGGAGAAAGTCCCAAATTCTGTTCTTAGCTCCTTTCTAGACCAGGAAAGTCAGGGAGTAATGGAGTCATCAGGGTCAACTTCCTTTGTTCTAGATACAGAGCCCCTCTTAATTCTTGGTTCTATCTTCTAGAGAGCAGAGGTGTCTTTGCTGTTCAGCCTTACTTGTTTAAATTCTCATGTTGTCTTTTCACTTTCCTCATCTTACCAGTGTGTTAATTAGAATTAGATTATTTGTTTTCCTTTTCATGCAGAGTAGGCTCTCATTTGAGACCTCTTCTAGTCACTGCAGAGGCAGGACCTAACACAATGACACATTTGATACCCTTTCTTGTTCTGTTGTATTCATATACTCAAGTAATATGTACTGAACAGTATTGAAAGATGATTAGGAGACCTGAGTTCCAGTCTTACCTCATCTGTTAGAATCCAGCACTTTTCTAATTCTCTTCATTGTCTGTCAGAAAAACTATGAGAATATTTTTATTTTTATTTATTTTTAATTCTTAGCTTGATAGTCTTGTGTGGGCTTAATGTGTAATGCACTGCATTTTGAAAACCTTTTGGCTGTAGTTCCAAATTGTAACCTTACAACCAGTCCCTATTGTGTAATACTTCAGGAAATATAAAACAGTTTGGCACAGCTGTGTATACAGTGCAAAGTAGGGTTTACTGTTTGGATTCTGGAACATCTGTATGGATTGCAGGTAACAAACTCGTTGTTCACCCAGTTTGCATGATCAAATATAAGATTTTGCTGTAAGTGCTGAAATGTTTCACTTTGAATGATGCTTGTCATACCTGCCAAAATATTTCTTCTCAGGAAGACAGCGGAGATCCACACATTGTCCCTCCATGGTTTTAACACTTCAACTCTCCTATACACTAAACACCACTGTTGTAAAAACAGACACACTCTCCTTCCATTGCAGAAAAGAACAGAGTACATCCAACTTTTCCTTTTATGTCTCCAAACAGCAAGAATATGACAGTTCTGTAATAAAGTACATCCAACTTTTCCTTTTATGTCTCCAGACAGCAAGAATATGACAGTTCTGTACAGTCATGTACCATCAAATCAATTCTGACTTATAGTGACCCTTTGCAGGGTTTTCCAGGTGGATAGTACTCAGAAATGGTTTACCATTCCCTTCTTCTGGGGGGATCCTGGAACTGTGCAGCTAGCTTGCCAAAGGCACACAAACTGGCTCTACTCACAAGTGACACTGGGGGTCAAACTTCCAACCTCTGGTTCTACAGTCAGATACTTAAACCACACTGAGCTATCCAGCCAGCTAACAATTCTATAGCTTTCTTTAAAAGTGCAGTGCTAACGTGAATCCCATGGGAAAATCCTAATTACATGGCTCCTACAGGAGAAAGAGAACAAAGTAAAGATTCTCGAGGTCAGGGATGGGCAATGGGTGACCCTGCAATGTCAAAGGACTCCAGTTCCCATCAGTCTAAGCCACTTCACAGAAAGGTGAAGAGAGGTACAGAAAGATTATAGCAGTTGCAGTTAATTAATATTTAAGGGTTGCATATTTCCAATCCTATATCTGGCATAAGGTTAATGCGGTTTTATGGCAATATAATTAGTGGTATATACCATATATATATAACACTATACAGTGGTGCCCCGCTTGACGACATTAATCTGTTCCGTTAAAATGGCTGTTAAGTGATATCGTCATCAAGCGAAAGAAAAAAACCCATTGAAATGCATTGAAAACTGGTTCAATGTGTTCCAGTGGACGAAATACCTCATCGTCCAGCG